GCTTTTGGACTTTGGCGTTATGCTGGAAACCCCAGACTGGTATGCAAAACCTTTTTTCTGAAAACTAACCGTTTAACCTTCCATCTGCAGCGGTAATTTGTTTAATTGTTTAGTGCTTATAGTTTTGTTTTCCGCACTTGTGATTTTCCAGAACTAATAAAAGTTAATCTTGGAAATGGCTGCTTATAAGTTGCACTTCAGAGCAACTTTTGGCAACTAGCTTTATTAGTTGCCAAGAGACATACACTTTTGGCCAGTATGTCTGGAAAAAAAACAAAACAAAAAAACTCCACAGTTAAAACAAATTAACAGTTGGGATTATTGTGTCTAGAGGAAAGCTTACAAGGAGAACTGATTGAATATATATTTTTTTACATTTAAAAGTCATAACTTTCTAGTAGGTGGTTTAGAAGCTGTTGTTTTTTGTTTTGCTTTGTTTTTTTGTTGCCAAAATTGCCAGCAATATGCCTGGGTAAATGGGCAGTCATGTAGCAAAAATGCCCTACTTGTTATTGCATTCAGACATAATGTCTCTCACACAATGAGTCTACTGAATCTGCAGTCTGTAAGGCATTTAGGGACAATACCAGAATGTAGCTGTGAAAGGTTGGGATTTTAAAGGTTTACTGCTCAACTCATCAGTATAATCTTGGCCTCGTAAGGGTAGCAAATTTAGTCTGTTTTGGTACCATTATTATTATTTTTTTTAGTGGTTTAGTTTTAAAGGGATTTTTACGTATTAATTTGCACTTTGTGTGGTTTCTGTAGAGATAATAAACCGTTTTTTCTTTACTGATTGTATAGTAAGTTATGTTGACAATGCTTTCAGTTTGTTAAATGCATCAGAATCTGACATTTCCTGCTTTGGTATGATGTGTATGAAGCTGTAGCTTTGTCTGGGTGTGCTTGTCATGATACTACTTCCCTATGCACACCAAGTATACCACTATGGCAACCCAGTTTGAACAATTGCATAAATAACATCGTACACTCCTCACCCCCAATTTTACTTCACGTTTTAAGTGCTTTTTCTTGTTACACAAAGTAGAAATTATTTAGTCTACTTGTGTATTTAATTTGCAGCAAAAAATGCATCAATTAGCATTAAAAAAAATATTTTGCCACGTTTTGTGTTTGTAATGGGTGACATATTTCAGGTGCAGGTTGTTCCAATTAAGTCACATTTCTTTTACACTTCTATTTATTTTCCATCACTACTTTCCTTCAATCCCTGTGGACTTCAGTCTTTTAGGCAAGAAAATCTTTGAGGTTTTGGTATTATGTGGAAGATTAAATATTAATGCAATTGTATTTAAATGTGTTAACAGCAGCCCTTAGAAAGTTTTTTTTTTATTTTTTATTGCACATTTGTAATGACAATGGCAATTCAGCATATTCTACATCTGTAGCTGTAACAACTGAACCATTGGACTCTTGGAACAACAGGTTATTTTTAAATGATTAAGAGTTGATTTCAGTGTTTGCCAAAAGAATTGGTTCATCTGGTGGTCAACTATACATCATAGCCATATCTGATGCCTTGAGTTTGTCCTTTGTACAAGTACATCCTTCCTTTTCTGAAACGCTCCATTCTGCATGTCACCATGACAATGCTTCTCCATTCGTTCTCTTGACACCATTTACAAGGGTAAAAGAGGCTTTTACCCACCAGGTGTTTGGTAATTGCTGCTGCCACTAGTCTTGTGGAGCTGAGTGGAGGAGTTGTGCTCAGCTGGGGACTGAAGCTCCAAGCTGCACCTTTAATAAATAGGCCTTGCACTGCAAGTATAGGCTTTGATGCAGCCTCTAATGGTTGCCATGGGAGAATCAAGGATTTCTCACCATGCATGAATGAATCAAAGCAACTCCTCAAGTATGTGTGAAACACATTGTACATGACATTATAACTTTATATAAAAAGTTGCTAAATGAAAGTAAATTTTTCATAATGCAACCTATAGCAGAAAAATATCATTTTGTAATTGTTTGGAAGCCATTTTCCAATATTTTCACACATCATATGTTTTCTTAATATCGTTCAGACTTACCTCGATGGTGAACACTGTCAGTGAGGCAACTGTCGTCATTGCCCAGTTTTTTTTTAGGACAAAGACTTTTATCTCTTCCACGACTAGCCAGTCTGCTTTGGAGGAAGCAGTGGGAAGAACACCACTGGAAAGAGGGAGAGTGACAGCCCTGTCTAAGAAGAGAGTGATAAAGATACATAGAGGAAGTCATTCTGTGCCACTATCAGTTAGTGAAAGCAGCAATACTGCTGCAGTGAGAGGATGGTGGTGTTATTCCACACTATATGTGGGAAATATGTGAAATATAGTGGGACCAATAACTTCAGGTTGTATTTGTTTTCACTGTAATCTTTGTTTCTTATGTAATGTTTTTGTGAGACTAGAAGGCTCTTTAAGACTCGAAGTCATCTTGATAGAGAAAAGCTAATGGCTCGCTTTATTCTCAGGTTGCTGGTTTTACATGGAGATCATGTAAAACCAGCTATCCCTGTTTTGTGTGTTTTAATTTTGCTTACGAGTTGAAATTACGCCTTCAGAACAATGATAGTAATACATCTCTTGGTCTGTTTTATGCAAGCAGAATATATTTTACATATATAGAGCAGCTGAGCTGTTATCCAGTGGGTGAATCTCACTTTTGCACTTGTACAATATCATCACGGCATGTGAAATATTGTTTTAATGCCTTATTTAGTCAGTAAACAATAGTTTTTGCAGAAAAGTTAAAAAAGTGTGCAAATTAAACATTAGTTGTTTTTTTTTCTTCGAAATTAAGCATTCAGTTATAAATATTAAGCGATTCATGGCTATCAGGTCTAAGGCTTCTTTTCTAGTAAGCTTTGTTACCAAATTTTACATCAAGAGCTGTCTTGTCTCAAACAGGATTTCAATTCTGCATAAATTAAGTTGTGGTTTAAAAAGCAGAACTTCATAGTTTATTTTTTTAAGTAGTTTTGAATCTTGCTCTTACCCTGATCACGCTCTGTTCAGGGTAAGAACAGAGTGCGTTCAGAAAGTGCATTTCCGTTGTGTGGGCACAATGCTACCACAGTTCTGGTTTTCACCTGTATGGGATTTTTCTCACATTCTGCACACGTTTTATGATGTGGGTTTATCTAATGACAGCTGCTGGAGGAGAAACATCTTTCTTTTGAGGCCTTTTCCTATAAACAGAATGCCCCCAATTTCTCTTCGATTTCCTGCTTTTGCAGGACTTACATTAATCTCTTTAGTACTTGGTACCAAATGTAAAGATGACTAATACTTAATGTTAGCCAGCCTGAAACTTGAATTTGAAGTTGTTAAACCCCTATGCAGACCTAAAACATGCCTTCACATGCGTAATATAATCTGTGTTGGGATTATTATAATACGGTTTTATCATCAGACTTCCTCATGTGTAAATAGGGTGAGTTTATATGGTTTGGTTTTATACCGGAGCCTCAGACAACACCCCAACAAGCACCATACGGTGATAAACAGATTGGTAGGGAAATAGCCACTCGGTGCATTTCCCCAGGGTGCATCAACAAATGGCAAGCGAGGAAGCTGAAATCGAAACCAAAACTTCGAGCAAGCACCTGCCTGACTGAGGCTCAGCAGGAAGAGCCCAATCACACCACCAGACACACTTGTCTGATGCGCACATCTTGAATTATTACTCTGCAATTGGCTGGTGAAAATATTTTAATTTGAAACATATTGTTAAATTCTGCATAATATTATAATCAATTAACTTGACAATTTTTCCATTCTTTATTTAAAGACACTTTATGTTTGTGTGAAATTCTTAGAAATGTTAAAGACAATGGATCTACTCTTTCTTCACCACTGCCTCAGCTTTAATGGCCTGATATAATATAGTTTGCTGAGGTTTCATTTAATATAAAATGGAATAAGTTGTGGGAGTCACTGAAATTATGTGCAATATCTGCAGTCTGGCTGAAATTATTCTGTGTGGATCCAAGCAGCACTTTCATTTGAGAAGAAATGCATGGAATTATGGAGTTTTATTTGTTTTTGTGTGTGTGTGTTTTTTTTTTTTTTTACATTTCTCCCATCAGTTTTTATTGGTATTTATTTTCATAAATACCAAGAAACAAACTTATTATAGCAGGGTTTTTTTTTTTGGTTCCAACTTTCATAAAACCTCATATCTTACATGTCTGATATCAAACAATGAAACATTCTTAAGCTAAAAAAAAAAAGTAAAACCTTGAAATGTTTTATCCTTTCAAAGGAAACTAATATTTTGCTGTTAGGTTCTCATTGGTTGTAAGAATATAAAACAGGTATGATGCTTTCTCCTAGTCGATTAGTTTAGCCTCACATATTTCTTGGAGCATTTTCTAATCTGCCTTGATATCTAAAATATTTGCAGTACCTTCAAAAGTAGGAGATTGTCCACTTTTTTATTTATTTATTTTTCAAATATGTTTCACTTTTCAAAATGTATTTTCATTCTTTGTGTGTTCTTGTACATTTTTCTTTGTGGTGCTATAATTCCTTATATAATTTAATTGGAGAAGGTTAAATGAATGTGTGTAAGTCATTCTTTCATTGCTTTGATCTTCCTTTGTAAACATTATTTGGTACATACTGACATCTAGTGGCTCACATGTGCCATCTTGTTTTTGAAATTATATTAGTCAAATTTTTCCTCCTTTGCCTTTTGTTAATCAAGACTGTATTTAGTTCCTTAACATAGAATGCGTTTGCACTAATATAGAACATAATTATCATCAGTTAATAACTGGATAAAGTTTCCATAGCAATTTATTAGATTTCTCTCTGAATTGCTTATGTAATCTATATAATTTCCTGGAGCTGTTGCCTGTGATAATTTCTGTCTAATCGATTCTTTATTTTTCTCCCTCTCCTCCTCCTGGCCACCTTTTTTCTGTCATCTTGGCTGATATTTCCTACCCTCTTTTTTTTCATTTCCCCCCTGGTAATCCTTTATACAATCTGCAGAATCTCAAACGGCTGATTCCAGATGAGGTAGGTTTGCTAATGCGTGTTACAATCACCTATGCTCGACTCACCAGCTGCTGTCTGTCAGAGACCCCGTTAAATGTAAATGTTTTGTCTTGCGTTGAACATGAGCTTAGTGTGCATTATTTAGAGAAATTCATTGGAAGTGTAAATGCTTGGCACAAAGATTAGTGATTTATTATATCATATTTTTGTGCCAAGACCTTGTGCACTACTGAGCTCATGTTCTTGTGTGTTTTCAGTTATTTTAATACACACTATATGTCTTGGCAATATTCCCAATATTAACACAAAGACTTATACCATGAGAGTTGGACATCACCCATGTGGTCTACTTTTTGTGGACATTGTTTTGTGTCAAAATGTCTCTCAAAACAATGACCTCATTTTGCTAAACGTGTTTCTTTAGAAGATTTTAGCCCTTTTCAGACTTAATTTGGAGTGTTTCTAGTTATACTACTTCTCAGTGACCTCTACACTTTGATAACTAAAGCTGTTCAAGTTTAATTCATGTTTAAAAAATAAATTGGTACAGTTTAATAATGTATGCAGCACCTAAAAGTTATAACTTCTGCCACCATCTTTTGGAAAGAAGATGCCATTGGCTCAGGAGGTACAGATTTGTCCTAGTGTTGCCTATTCAAATCCCCACTCTGTCTGTACCAGTTGTCTTCATTGGCAAGATACTTCAGCCACTTTGCCCTTCTGCTGGTGGTCAGAAGATAACATCTGAATGGCAGCCTTGGTTCTGTCAGTCTGCCTCAGGGTTGCTGTGGCTGCATTGCAGATTAACACCATTACTGCATTATGAGTGAATGGTTGATTGTAGTATAATATGCTTCAGAATCCTGAAGCATATTTAGGGTTTTGAATATGCTAAAAAGCAGAGCAATGTCTAAAATATGCTGCAATGTATTCATCTAGGAAATTGGCATGAATAAGTGTTCATTATACATAAGCAATTCATAAAATGTCTCTCCTCAAGTTAGGTGTAGTTCAATGAACAAGTTGGTGTGAGGTTGGAAGATTGAGATGTGGTATAAGTCACATTTGTGGTTGAAGACACACCTTTTTATTTAGGTGATTTCTATATTTCTTTCAAACATCTAGCTTGCATAGCTGGAGTCCAGTAATCTAACCATAAATAACGTTGGTAATTTAGCTCCCTTCAAATTTTCTGCAAAGAGTTTAAAGTCTGAAAATGGCTAATGTCATATCTGCAAACTAAACAAATTATAGGCATTAAAACCCTGATGACATTGTCGATGTGTTTTAAAGGAGAGTGGGGCTTGCATGTGCCCTCTCTTTCATGTGTGTGTTTCCTTTAACCCATCTTATCTTGTTTACCCTCTCAGTTGGAGCGTCTCACCAGTATGAGAACAAAAAAGGACAAGGAAAAACCTCTGCCTCCAAGTCAGCGACACTCTTCAGCTGCCAACTATGAGATCTCACCTCAAAGTGCTATGCTCCATGAGCAAAGTGATGAAGATATCCTGGCACTCTTTGAAAAGATGCTGGTGAGGAAAAAAAAGAGGTTTCTTTGGAAAATTCACCCACCATGAAGTCAAATAAAATTAATTATCTTGAATATGCAGCTTAGTAAACTTACAATCTTTAGAACTGCTGAATCCCTCAATGTTGAAAGATCCTTTATGTGGGATTACCTTAATACCTTCAAAATAATTTTGGCAATTATTTTGAAAGTATACAACAGTTGAGTTTTTTCTGAAGAAAATAGTCATTAAGAAGAAAAAGTCATTATCCGCTACTATTTTTATATGGTCATAACCTACAACAGACTTCAGCACAAACATGTATGTTTTTATGTTTAATAAAGACCAACTGTGATTTCTAAAGCTAGAACCTCAAAATACATTAAGCTACACAAAAGTGTAACAACACACCTATTTTGTTTACTTTTTCTATCAATCTTTTTTTTTCTTTGAGGATAAATACATTAAATTCACAAAGTGGTTTGCCTTTCACATCATTTTTTTTCCATTTCTTTGCGCTTCCTATTTCTCCTAAAGGTGGACATGAACCTGAATGAGGAAAAGCAGCGACCGCTGAGGGAAAAACACATATCGATTAAACGTGAGATGGTCTCCCAATACCTCCACACCTCTAAAGCTGTAAGTACCCAAATTAAATGCCGAGATGCCAAAATTGTTGTGCAGATAAACATTAAGACGCATGAATAGAAACTACATCCTAGAAATTAATTTATGTTTCAAAAGGTGTGGGGAAGACAGCAGCATCAACAAAAATTACAATAAGAAAAATAATTTCAGGTCACAGTTCTTCATATTATAACTTTTAATCTGTGCAGGAGGTTTATTTAAAAACAAATGGCCATCCTTCTCTTACACATTGTGATTGGAGTGGATAAGATGCAAGATCTTCTAGTTGCTATTCCGTTTATATTTTGATTTTTTGATTTTGATTCAACAGAATACTTACACTTTGCAGCTACAGTTTAAGAGAAAAATCCTCTGCACTTGGCCTTTTAATACTTTAAAGAGTAAACTAATTCAGCATGGAATGCTTTTCAAAGCTGAAAGGCTTTTGTTTACACAAAATCAAATCAAAACAATTGAAGCACCAGGATTTTATTGTGAATAAATGCCTCTATATAAATAAATTTGGACTTTAATCCTGGTGTGGAAAATTTAGATGTTAAAGCAGCAGAAACCTGTAAATTGCAGATAAAGGGATAAAATGGCATAAATAAGCATAGGATTAACTCTAACATAATTACTAATGCATTTTAAATTACAAATACTTTAAAATGTATTGTTTGATGTGTTTTTCAGGGACAAGACCAAAGGGAGAGGTCCAAGTCAGCAGTAATGTACATCCAGGAGATTAGAATGGAGTACAGGGACCCACAGCAGCTGCTTACCTGTCTGGAGTCCTTGAGAGTCTCACTCAATAACAACCCTGTCAGGTAATGCATGCAAGATAAAAGAAATTAGGCCTTTTTTACCTCCAAACCAGGTGCTTCATTAAATTAGATTTGGAATAAGATAACCTATGCTACACGTGTTAAGAACCTCATCTTTAACTTCTGTGATAAAAGGATCTGAAGTGGTGAACATTTTATGGTGTCAAACACTCTTTCAATGCATTGATGGCCTGAAGTCCTCTGTAGATTTTCTTGGACACTTTGTGTCTTCTCTGGTCATGTCTTTTGTGTTTTGCTGCAGCTGGCACTAGTTTGAGGGGTTTTATGTTCTGTTCCTTTCTTTCTCCTAATTGGAAGCATTATGATAAATGCGACTGTTGCATTAACTTACAAACTGACCTTTCGCTTTGTGTTAAAAAGCTGCTATTTCATTCGACCTTTTTTGTGTTTCATTGTTCTAAAATAATGTATTAATTTGGTTACAGTTTCTGAAAATTGCCAATGGAAAAAAAACAACCATTATGAAATCACCACAGACTGATGTTTTCAGTCACATTTGTGCTTAACTTTATTCAGTAGAAAGTGATGTTGAAGATCATATCATAAAGACGTTTGAAATATTTTTATTAGTCAACAATAGATGCATATTTTTAATGAAACATCCAGAAATTAATTTATGCTTTCCAAAAGAGAAATGGTAAACGTCTTCTTGCTGCTGCTATTGAAAAGTTCAGCTTGCATCAAATCCAAGACACTAATTTGTTCTTGGTACACTGAAGTAAGTCAGTGAAGACACTTCTAATCATGGATTTTTGTTATATGACTCAAATAAATTTTGAATCATATAAAATATAAAGTAACCTTTTTGTTATTAGTAAGGGACACAGTAATAAAAGTAATGTCAAAAGCCAATAGAAAAAATACATTTATTTTTAACTTTGTTTCAAAGATCTATTGCTTTCTGGTACCTTTGAGTCAATCCAATTCATTAGTCTGAATTGTGTTAGACTTTTTTTTTTTATTAAGTTTTTTATTTGTAGATTGAGTTTCAGAAATCACTCAGTCTTGATACATCTGAAAACTTCAAATGGTATAGACTGAAAAAGAAAAAAAAACTAACTTTTATTCACCTTTTCACTTTAAGTTGGGTGCAGAATTTTGGAGATGAAGGCCTCCTGCTGCTTTTGAGTCTACTGAAACGACTTCAAGGCGAAAAAGATGATAACCTGTAAGTCACACAAATCAGTTAAGCAAAGTTGGGCCTTTTTATTTAATCAACTGTGTTTTGTAATACATTTCTGTCTATATTCTGTTTCAGCCAAGCTAGAAATATGGGATTCAAATGTCAACATGAGATAATTCGCTGTCTGAAGGCCTTCATGAATAACATGGTAAGAAAACTGTGATGTTTATCGATAGATTAGATATTTTTGTTCCTTTAAAACCAGAGAATATTTGCTTTATTTGAGATAAGTACTATTTTTTCCTTTTTTCAAAAAAATAATGTATGTAATTTACAATTCATACCACTAGAGGGCAACGTGACCACTATTTCAGGTGTAACTGATTGTTTTTGATTTTGAAAGTAAATCTTAATTCGAATGATCTCAATAGAAGAAGAACATCTAAGATTGTTGTAAAATAAACATATGTACTCTAAATATATTGAAGTATATTTAAGGCCTGGTATTATTATGCAGCCCTTTTTAAGTTCCTCCGTATGTTCAAGATGAAGTTCTTCTGTATTTCAAGATATATTCTAATGTTTTCAAATGAGACATGTTCTTTTTAGTGTAGTTAATTTCTTGTATAATTTCTTTTGCTTTTTTGATAAGAATGTTTTCATTCCTCAATATCAAAGTAAATAATACTTGATATGAGTGTTGTAGGCTGAAAACCCCATGAATCCATTCTGAAATGTTTGTTTTTTATCTTTCTGTTAGTATGGTATAAAATCCATGTTGGGGACGGAAGATGGGATTCTTCTCCTGGTCAGAGCAATGAACTACAAGGTGCCCAGCATGATGGTGGATGCTGCCAAGCTACTTTCAGCCATCTGTATTTTGGATCACCCTGACAACCTGTGAGGATAAATAAAATAAGTGCTAACATGGTGTGACTGAGCTGAGCTTAGTGAAATGATAGTAATTATTTCAGGCCTGATTTCAAAGACTCCTTCTACTATAATTTGTAGCCTAATTTGACGGTCATTTTAATCATGCAACAACCTGGACTTTTTAAAAATTTCTGTGTGTATTATTTATTAGATAATGAAAATAAATCTTTTACTTTTCAAGTCATGATCGCGTTTTGGAGGCCATTACAGAGGAAGCTGAAAAACGGGACGCTGAGAGATTTCAGCCTCTTATAGATGGGATGCAGAGCAATCACATTGCTCTTAAGGTATGCATTTTGTTTTAGAACTAAGAAAGAGAACTGAGAAAGAGATTTATTTAATCTGTTATACTTCTGTTTGATGAAAGGTGGCATTCCTCATTAACAGTACTTTATATAGCCTGTCATGTAAGAGGCAAATGTTTATTAAATGGTTTTCTTAATGTAAAGCTAACTTGAAGTGTCTTTTGCAGAGTGGATGTATGCTGCTGATCAACGCCCTAATCAGCCGGGCAGAGGAACTGGACTTTAGAATCCATATTCGCTCTGAACTCTTAAGACTGGGACTCAGAGGACTCCTGAGTGTAAGTCATTAGGAAATCTATCAGAATGCATTATATATACCTGTTCATATTGTTACTTTTGCTGAATCCATCAGAGTCACTGATGGATTCTTCATGTTAAAGAAAAAATCTCAGCTGTCTTTGCTGAAAGATGTTTCACTGTGACACACCTCCTGCCATTTTCCTCCGAGTGCTTTCATCTCTCTTCTTCCATCCCATCCTGTTCCCTGCAGGAGATCCGGGAGATAGAAAATGAGGAGCTTCAGGTGCAACTCAATGTGTTTGATGAGCAGGCCGAAGATGACTCAGATGACCTTAGAGGACGTCTTGAAGACATCCGCATAGAAATGGAATATCCTTTCAATAGGCCTTTGTTGGACACCACTCATTACTTTACAAAAGAAAGAAAAAGTAGAGTATTTTTTTCTCGATAATATTCTTTGAATTTTTCTGTTCACACAACCCGTAAAGTGTGATTAGCAAAATATATCTATATTATGAACACTTTTTGAAAGACATGCCCATAGTATGACCGACTGCATATCAGCTTATTCTTTTAAATTTGAATTTGGATTCTCTGCTATCTTCCTTATTCGATTTCTGGTTGACAACAGTTATAAAGTGAACATTTTTCATACACAACTAACACAGTCCCGTTACTCCCTCTGTTACTTTGTTTTTGTTTATTTCCGGCAAATTCAATTCTGTGAACATAATCAAATTAGCTGTGGTAATGTCACAGTCGGCAAATAATCCAACCACTGGAGTTTTCTTAAAATAGCTCTAAATTATCTCTGTATTAGTCGTACAGTCTAGCACCCCACAAGCACAATTATTTTTAAAACATGCCTAATTTTAAATTGTCTTTCACAGCGCTGGGTAAATTAGTCACTGCCTACAGTACACAATAACAAATCCATTACATCAAATGGAGTGTTTATGGTTGCTGTTATAAAGCGCACAAATAATTTTTCTGACTGGATGACAAATTTTTTATCACCGTTATGTTTTTTCCCTGTATTAAATAAATGGGACAGTTGTGAGATAAATTATTACGAAGAATTAAACTAAATGTATTTCACTGCTTTTGACTTGCAGTTGCTGATTTTCAACACCAGGTGTCTCCCAGGTGTCACTGCAGTCCTGTCCGCTTTGCACAAAGCAGCACTGCTGGTCCCTAAACACATTTCAAATCCATTAGAACAGCTTTTCAAATGACTTTTGTATAGTTACTTATCTGATGTAATTTTTAAATTTAATATTACTGTTTGTCTCTGATCATCCAACCTCAGTATTGTTCAGTTTCCAGCAATGAATATTTGTTTTTACTCTACAAATATTTCTATTAGATTTTTTATTTATGATATATTCTACATTAAAAAAAAATACATTGTATATATTTCTTTTTCACAATTCTCTGTCTGATGTATTCATTGAGCCTTGACTTGCTTTAATGATGTGAGGGAAGTGTTTGACATCCTGGTCAACACAGTGAGGGATTCCAAGGCTGAAGGTCACTTCCTGTCCCTGCTGCAACACCTGCTCCTGATCCGTAACGATTATTTGGCCAGGTATGCCACACTAATACACAAAACACTATTTATTCTTTCAAAGGTAGCTGCTGCTTGCATAATCATTTGTTACATTTGACACAATTTTGCATTTATTTACCTTTAATTTATAGTGACTCACTTTGTCATTTATTGTGTCTTTGCGTTTGGGACTGAATTGGAGCAGTCAACTCTTTTCTTTGCAGACATGTCATTGTAAACTGATGAAAGAGAAAACCACCGTTATGGAAAACATTGGATTTATTTTCTTATAAATTATCAATGACTTTTTATGTGATAAACCAGCACCCACTATTGCATGATTTTGAAGATGAGGTAAATAAACAGCTAAAAAATTAATCTTCAGCCCTGCTGTGACAGTATTGTGTAGAGCAAGCTTGGTTTCTACCAGTGGGCTAAAAGATAGATTATGTTCTCTCACTTTTCACAATGGTGGGATTTGTGGAGTTCACACTAGTAGTTGTCTTGCAGAGAGTCCTGAGCTCTTCATATTTGTAGCTCCTCCAGAGTAAATGTGTTCCTCTTGGCCATTCCTCTGACTGATGTTCTCCTCGCTCAGAACATCAGTCAGGTGGATGGCCAAGAAATCTGTTGATCATCCAAGCGTCATCTTGCTAGGTGTTTTGAGATGATTGAGCAGTGCTCTGAGAGATGGTCAAAGCTTTGGATATTGTTCTATCCTGGATTAAACTTCTTCACACCTTCATCTGTGGAGGTCTGCTGTGTTTTTGAAGCTATTTGTCCAAACAAACATCTGAGGTTTTTACAGAACTACTGTATTTGTTCTGAGATGAAATCATCCCCAGGTGTATTGACTGAGAGTTCAAGACAATGGGTTGGATTTTAGGGTGTAAGCAGGTCCAGAACAGAATAAATATGCACACCACATCTCAGATTATTTAGTCAGTATAATTTTATTCCCCACTTCACAAGTATGTATGACTTTTTGTTGATTACTCAAAGGGAGTAACTAAGATTGTTCTGTTTTGATCTGACAATCGTTGATCAACAGTTGAGCTGATCAAGGGAAAATCGCCCATTTGTAATCTCTGGCTGATTAACTGCTCTATCTCTATAATTGGAGCAGAAAAACTGTGTAGAGATAATAAGAACACACAGTTCAAAAGCTTAAAAGATAATGACTGGTGTACAGTTATAAAATAAATCAAGCATACCAGAAACTGCAAGCGTCTGCTTTCACTGTGAGCAATTTACAAATAAAAAAATCCTAACACTACACTGAGCACCAATGAAACCTGGTAATATTGTTGTCCCCATGTAACAAATATATGGGCCTGATTATAATCAGCCCATAATAATCAGGAGACTAGTAAATATATCGGCAAAAGTAAACATAGCAAACAACCTCATTGTTTTATGCCATTAGATAATGAGAACAAAGTAAGAGTAACATTTTAGTTAATGGTAAGGGGTTGATGTTGAAACATGAAAGTAAAACTTAGAGAACATTATTGCCAATGCATTAAAATCTGATAAAAGGCAGTTTTTGCAACAAATAATAGGCCTGTTTATTGGTAATTTGATAAAATGTAGAACTTTTGGTAATTGTTTCATAGCCAATGAAATAAAAAAATAACAATTACAATCTCATTTTTGACCACAGTTTATAAGAACCAAAGTGCTTCTTATGGCCCCAGTACTGTAAGTTGCATACACCTGCTATGAAGAAACAATGGAATATTGTCAAAGGAAGATGATGGTACACAACAGTACAAACATGACTATTAAAGCAACCTGGGCTTCCTTATCTCTTCAGCATAGGATAAGTTGATTATCTCTATGCCTTACAGAAATTATGCTTTATGCTTGCATTAATGCACTGTACAATACTTTGACATATTATTCAGAGTCAACATTTCTAAATTGAAATAATTTTATTTTTACAGAAAAATTGAGTTTTGTTTTGATTTTAAGCAGTAAACTATCAAAATGAACTGTAAAAAAGCTCTTGAAGTAAACAATCAGGTTCAATTTCTCAAAGTAAATTATTATTATTAATAATTTTCACCAAATTGCTAATTTCATCATTAATTTAATAATTTAGAATGCACCTGGAACCTAGTTTGTGTCATTGCCTTTAAAATCAAATTATTCTCTGTTTGATTAGCATGTTGGCACATGAAGCTTAGAAAAATAACTCGTCATATAGGTAATGAACAGCATGCTTTTATGGACTAAGTGTGGCTGGGGTCAACAGAAATAATCCGATGATGATGTCAGCATAGCCAAGATGGAACTCATTTCAAAAATATTTATTAATCTTATTTTGATTCTCCTCACATCTTCCTTATTTCAGCACTTTTCCCTATTTGCTGTTTGTTTTCTAGAGGGCCTTATCAAGACAGTGAAATTAATAAATGCAAAGAAGTCCAGTTTCATTTTAATGGAATTGAGCACCATCCACGCTTATCAGAAGAAATATGCTAATGTCTTGCCTGGTGTCCTCCAAAGCCCCTTGGAGTGTGATTTAAAGGAAAGAAAGGGGAGAGAATGATTGAATGACAGAATAATATTGCAGAATAATATTAATATTTACTTAGCATTGTGTATTTGTGTGTCCCTTATTAATTTAAAAAAAAAATATTGGCAGCTACATTCTTGGCATAAAAAATTATATGCCTGCTTAAATGGATGTCTGCCCAGTGTCTCGACTGATGTAACAATGCAGACATAGGTTGGTCTATGTGGTCTATTTTTATCTCTTTTCCACACAAATTTCAAAAAACATCTCACCAGCTGATGTTTTTTTTTTCTTTTTTTTTGTGTGCAGCTACTTTTTTTTTTCCATCAAGCTGGCACACAATAGAGGTGGTCTGTAATGGACTCCAAAGAGATATTGAAAATAAGAGGAGGAGAAAGGGCTTCACAGGGCTCAAAGTACAGCTTAATACAGAGATGAAAGGAAAATGAAGGTGGAGACTGTGAGACAATAATACAGAGAAAATTGAGAGCAGTGGTAAATTGCTACATAGAGTACCTGCTGATTTGCTCCTTCAGTCATGGTTGGTTTCAGGCTCAAGTGGCACGGAGGGGAGAGTTTAGTGGATAATTGTACAATATATGCTTTATGTAGTTTTATGCACATAGTGCATATTTGTAGTCCTTAAAAGGTTTAGTAGATGTACTTATAGAATTCAATTTGTTCTGATTTAAGTAGTAAAAAAGATAAACCCCTGGCCCACTACAATTTCCTACTTGTCATTTGTAGTTGAAATCAATGTCCAGAATATTATTAAGAATATCAAATTTTTTGGATAAAGTTTTGTTTTTCTTGCAACACTAGATGTCTCTCTCGCTCCACGGATAAATCTCAACTTTGGGGAGGGGAGGTAAAAACACCTAAAATATGGTGAAGTAGTGAAATAAGCTTAAGACAAAAGCAAAGTGAGAGAGCAGAGTACAGAGATAGAATAAATAGTGTTGAGTTTTTGAATCTGGCAGCGTCTAATGGGGTCGAAGAATAAGGCACCTCTGAAATTGAGTGTCTGTGTGAAGCTGGTTTGATCAGACGTTTGACGCTGGACACAAACCAGCAAGCGCTCGCACGAGCAGTTGCACACAATCAATCTTTGTGACAAGAAACTCAAACTGCCCGGCTCGCACAGACATCCAATCTCAGTTTCAAAGACAGAGTAGCGGAGGATGTGTGCTCACACATTTTTTCTCCTGAGCAGGGTAACATCATTTGTCTTGCGCAAAGTCAGAGGCTCTGTTATTGACGAGTTGAAAATCGGTGCCATTTGCTTTATTTTGCACGTCAGGTTTGAAAAAAAAGAAAAAAAAAAAGAAAGTGATGCTCCAAGAGAGTTTTGAAAATGTTCCTAATGATAAATGCATTTCTTCTTGCTTCTAATAGGCCTCAGTACTACAAGCTGATAGATGAGTGTATTGCTCAGATTGTGCTACACAAGAATGGGTCAGACCCTGACTTCAAGTGCCGCAAGCTCCATGTTGACATCGAAGGTTTGATAGGTGAGTTATTGGATCAGAACATGCCAGCCTTCAAGGATTTTTCATCCTTTTAAATGCTACCTTCAAGCTTTTCCTCCTACTTCTGTACTTGAATGCACCTTCACTCTTTGAACACGAACACAGAATGCCAATAGATGAAAAGAAAAATTGGTACAAACTGTTGGCCATATTTGACTTGAGTCATAGCAGGTTTGCATATGAAGTTGAATACATCATTAGTAAAACCACAAGGTGGAGCCAGAGAGGAAGTACTGATATAGACAGAATGGTGCTACAGGTTTTAACGGCACAAATAAGTTGTATAAAACACATTTTTATGAAACAGAAGATTAAAAACTGCCTCTTTCATTCCGTACAACTCTAAAATCAGCTTGCTGCTGGATGGTAGCTTGAATACTCTACAGGGGAAAGCATAACTATAACAAGCCAGCAGTGCCCATCTTCATTTGTCTGCAGGGCACACCATCTCTTCCAGCTGCAGGCATGACACACACTTTTTTTTCTGGGAATCAAAGTATTAGGACTGATTTATGGTGTGTCAAAAACACTTTGTAGAACTCGGTACCTTGGATGTTTTTACCAGATCCAAATAGCTATTCTGAAAGATAAACTGAAAAACGTTTCCAGCAATGAAAGTGGTGCTTTATCATTAAAGTAGGGGCATTAAGTGTCTTCAGGGTGAAATATATCCTGTCCCACATGGTTTACTGATTGAAAAGCTTCACAAATAGCTGAGCAACTGGAAAAAAAAAAAAAAACCTTAAGGTTTTAACCTTTTTCTTATGACTGACAACCTGGTCAGTCACAATATGAAGTAGGAAGAAATGACTGTCAGTTTTTAGAAGACACAGAAATGGTTGGACACAGACCTTAATCCGCCATCAGAAAGGTGTCGGGGGAGGGGGATTAAAGTCGACTTTGTGATTGCCACTGATCCGTGAGATCCGTTTCATGTCACTCTCCATTGAATACAAATATAAGATGTGGATTTCTCCCCTGTAAAATAATCATTCCTGGGAGAAGCTGTGAAAACTTGTCTAAATACAGAATTTCATTTTTTCTTCATTTGAATGGCAGTTCCCATCTGCTGTCACTGCCAGCAGATGGGAAAAACAAAGCAAAATGCAGGTGCAGGCCATGTCTCATGAGTTCAATGCTCTTTATGGCAAGTCTCCGTTGCTCACTGCAGGAGACTCTAATTGCGCTGCTTCTAAATGTATCCTGACACACACGCAGACTGGCTGGCCTCTTTTAAGCCTGTCAGAGTTATTATTGGTGGAAAGCAGCCCAATTCTGCCCTGCATGCATTATTTAGTGTTTTTCTTTGAACTCTGAAATTCAGCACAGTTTTTTTCCCCCTCCACATTCTGTTTCCCTCTGTGCTCTCTATTCAAAGTTTGTCCCATTTAGCCTAGCCACCATAAGAGACTTGCCCCCTCCACTAAATCCATTTCACATCCAATAACCATATAAACTCGTACACAAATACACCCTGAAATTGCATGGAGGTTGGTATGTTATATATATATTTTTTAATCGGCAAAGGTCTTGATCTCCAGTTTTTTATTCAGTTTATCTTATTATAGAAAATCATTCTTTCCCATTTTTTTATCTATTGCAATAGTGCATTTCTTTTATCTCATCTCTATCTTTATGGTTCACTTTCTACTTAAGCATGCAGAGATTTTTGTAATTTTCTGTGAGCTTCACACAGCTTTCTGTTTGTACTTATCTGCATCGATTCCCCCCAGTGCGACCACCCCACACCCCGCTCCCTACCCCGGGCACCATAAGCTGCCTTTGATCTGGTGACATAGTGGCATTTATCTTCATATTAATTAGCTTCATCACCAGCTCTGAGCCACCTGTTGACCCTGCAATTATGCAGTAAAGGCATCCTGTTGGTCATTCCGTGTCCTTCTCACCCTGTCCTCTGCCAAGTAGCATATCTGATAATACATAACTCCCAGAGCAGAGATTTATTTTGCATGAAGGGAGAACAAAGGTGTGTGTGCTGAAGGCTTAAAAGGTAATGATATGTAAAAGCAGCATGCGACACAAAGCATCCTATTGTAATGAGATGCCTCTGCAATCGCCTCATGGATCTTGACTGCGAGTGTTGTGATAAGGGAAAAATAGGAAGACAGATGGCTTGTATCCTTCTGTGAATTTATGTGAGTGTACAAACCCCGTACCACACTGAAGGGTACAATGGCTTCGAGGCGCGATGTGTGCAAGTGTGTTGTCAAAACCCTTATCTTATCTGTGACCACTTTTCTGGTTTCTCTCCCCTCCCCTTTTGTTTCCTCTGTTTCTCTCCAAAGACAACATGGTGGACAAGACCAAAGTGGAAGTCAGTGAGGCCAAAGCAACAGATCTGGCGAAGAAGGTACACACGAGTCTACTTAATAGTGAAATAAGCCTTGCAGACACGACACAAACAATTCAAGAACAAACTGATCAACTGAAAATCATATGAGCTATAACCTAAAAGACAGTAAATATAAAAAAAATAAATACTGTGAAAGTGTTCTTTTGTCTGACTCAGACATGTTTGAATTATAATGACTCTTGGTTGGCTATAGTCAGTTTGACATGAGATGACAAATTACAAAAAGTGAGAAAGAGAGGTTGACTGAAAATGAGCATCCACTCTCCTGAAAGCCACCCGTCAGACAAGCGGACGCACGTGCTCACTCAGACACACAGGGGGGTAAATGCCTTGATTGTGGCTCGTTGCCAGCCTGATGTTTCTGTCCTAGTGACAGGATAATTGCAAAGAGGGAGCTAAAAACTAGTCTTCATTCATAATACACAGTTGTATGTGGGATCATATCAATCGACGAGACACATCCACACTAGCAGGCGCGCTGTGACGTCTAATTGTCATGGACCACACATCATATTGGTGGTTGAGCATGATGGGGTAATTGCGAGCAGTCCCTTTTGGCAGGAATTAGGGATAAGGCTGTCAGGCTGCTGACAGCCAGAGTAACGGATCCGCTTTCTGCAAATTAAACAGCTGTGTTTGTGCCTGTGTCTTCATGTATTTGTCTTTTTTTAAATATCATCCTGTTTGACAGGTGTCTGAGGGAAAGTGATTTGAAAATTGTGTTAACGTGAGAAAATTAAAAATGCTGTAAGAAGTTTCACTTACGAGGGAGGAGGCATTGAAAAAACACTGAGAAGGGCGCTCATTTAAAAACATTGAAGCCTCCTCACTTTATAAATGACTGCAATTTTCAGAGTAAATTATACAATAAAACGGAAAAGCTCTAAACTGCAAGACTCACAGGCTCAACAAAAATTGTTCCAACAGGTCTGAAATATGTAAGAACAGCTGTCTCTTCAACAAGAATCCTTAAACCTTCTGCATGAGCGCACACTTGGCTCTTATTTGTAAAAAAAATAAGACAACACTAAAAAATAACACTTCTCAGTCATCTTTTAAATGAATTGTTTATAAAGTTATGTTAAGTTTGAACTCTTGTTGTTTTTGATTTTTGTAAAAGTACTTAAACTGCTTAAATTGCTTTTCACATAACAAGTCGCAATGACAAACTTCAGTTTATTTTGTTGGGATTTTTTGTGGTAGACCCACACCAAATAAAACAGAGAGGTAAAATGGAATAAAAATGATGCTTGTTTTTTTTTAAAATTATGAATAAAAATTTGAATCCTTTATTTTAAGCCCCCCCTCTTAGTCAGTTTGTAGACCGCTTTGTGCTGCAATTAGTGCTGTATATGTTTGGGGGGAAATGACTCCACCAGGTTTAGGCCGAGATTTTTGCCCCTTCTTCTTTGCAAAATACCTCGGGTCTTGCCACCAATTCTGTTTTGTTCTGAACTTTAAGGTGGACATTTCAGTGCCATTGGTTTAGCTAAACCATTCATTTTCCTACTGGGATGTAAATTTCATAAAAAAAAAAACAAAAAAAAAAGCTTAAACTCTTCAGTTTCCTCAATTTACACCACTTTTCTGATTTACAACACAAACACTCTAGAAAATAAATAGAGTTTTGTTGTTGTTACCCAACAATGGTAAAAAGAGGTAGGAGTACCTTTGGAAAACACTTTTGTAGTGTAGTTTATAGTGAAATGCTTTTTTCTATCGGGGTCCAATGTTTTTAGCAACTTGCATAATTAAAAATATTAATTAATTAATTAGCCTTTTTAAATCGTGTTTTCAAGTAGCAAACACATTATAATTAACAGTCAAGATTTCTCTGCTGCTCAGGGACCTCTGTGACCTTTTCTTAGTGTCCTTGTGAAATTTAGGAGAAACAAGGGCTTGCTGCTTTCCAGCTAACACTTCATCACAATAAATACAAACAAAACACTGTTTAAGCTTTTATCTCCTCTTTTTAAGTACACTAATTATTTGGTGTCTCTCCAATCATGACTTAAATATATATCAGCTGGATGCAGAGCTGACAGCGCGCCACGAACTGCAGGTGGAGAAGAATAAACTGGAGAGTGATTATGACCAAAAGGTGCAGGGCCTGCACCAAGAAAAGGAACAGCTGGCCTGTGCCAAACTGGAGCGAGAAAAGGAGAACCAGGTTCTGCAAGAACAACTGGGCTCTTTGAAAAACCAGGTATACACAAACCGATAATCATGGTTGTATTTTCAATTGTCACTTTAATCACTGTTTTCAATTTTGTGGTGTGGATCATTAAGCTTCCAATGCATTTATGTTTGCAGTTCATACATTAAGCTGTACTTCTGTATTTTGTTCGTCGTTCTAGTTATATAGTTAGATCAGCTACAACATGCTCTGGAAACATGCACAGAAAACTCCATGAAGCAAAATATTTCAAGGTGCAGAAAAAATGCAATCTTTCAATTCCCTACTTTGAAACGTTGGCTAAAATTAGTGAATGCCCACATTAAGACTGAAGCCCCTCATGCTTCTCGATTTTAGGAAATGCCACTGATGAACGGAAGAAGAATAAAAGGATATTGAGTGCGCCAAATTCTGCAGGGATTAGGGAACTTTATAAATAATAAAAAAGCGGGACTTTCGGATTGCCTAAAAAGAGAAGGAAAAAAACAGGATGGTGTCGGGACAAACATATTTTCTAAGGCCAAGATACACATGCAGTTTGTGTGTATTTGTGTATTCACTCATAGGGAGGCAAAGATGAGGATTGTTTAGCTGTCAGTGTCCTGCTGCCACACCAGCTGGACTCTGCCTCATAGTGACAAACAAACTCACAAACACATCAAGTGACCCAGAACCGTCTGCCTCTGAGCACGTGTGCTCATTAACTTCATGAAGATGTTTTTGTGTGTGTGTGTGTATGTCTGTCTGTCATTTGGACAACCACCCAACTTCCAACATGAGCTTCATCCACAGAGCCTGATGCCAGCAGAGTCAACTTCTCATCAAACAAAGGCTCTAAACAAACACACACAGTTGTCCAAAGCGTCACCAGAACCATGAGCCAGGCATCAAACAAGCTTCTCATACCAAGATGGCTCACGTTCTGTGTTTGAGGCGCTGCCGATGGAAGATTTCTTCACATGTAGAGATCTCTTGGTGTCCCCTCGTATGATGCTGTGCCCAGTTCTTCATCTGCTGCTACACTAAGAAAGCCTGCCTCCGAGGCTCCCTGCGTCTGTTACTGTCTTCTTTTCAAAGTCCGAGGAAACATCACAGACAATTTGTTCCACTGGTGCATGCAGACAGGGATTCACACACATGCGTGCATTCACAGTGTTTCCACTACAAATGCAGAAAAACACATAGAGGAAATTAGCTTTTTGGTGCGTTCTAACTCTAAATTGTGTGTGGTGTATCAATATTCAAAAGCTAGTCTGCTTTTATTAGCTGACTGACTTTAATGACTTGGACAGTCTTCACAAAATTTGGCACCAACTGAGGCAAATACTGTAATCAGTACTTCAGTATGAAACTGAAAAATTCATTACACTCTCACTTCTCATTTAGAACTTTATCCTAGTCTTTCAGAACTTTTTTTCTTTGAATTTCTCTGTGGACTTAATTCCCTTCTGCTATCATTTTCTGTGTACTTTAATTTGCCCTGCATTCTCTTCTCATTTCTTCCAAAACTAAATCTTTTTTAGACCACAATCACTAGCTCACTTCTTCAGTTATTTTCTTTCAGTAGGCTTCTGTTTTTCTTGGAAACACAATTTGGCAGGGGTGAAATTGAAAATGATGATTCAAGGGATTTCAGCGTGAGCGTCGACCTCTTCCAGTTCTACAAAAAAGACTCAAATTATATCTAGAAATGTGAGCTCATCTATGGATGCATTTTTAAAAAATATTCATTTAAACCCCATCTTCATGTGGCACTTTGCCTTTGAACACATTTTATAACAGGAGTGCAAACATTTTTTTTTATAGATATCTTTTGTTGCATGTGTTGAAGACCGCAGACTTAAAAACTGAACTCTGGACATGTTCGTTTTTTTTTTTTTTTTTTTTTTTTTTCTGAAGTAAAGAAAAGAGATCAACATGAATTGATACACCTTTTGGGTTGCACTATGGCATATCTTGACTTGGTGTTTTTGGCTCCTCTTTTCAAAAGTCTTCCAGATCTGTCAGATTGTGAGGACATCAGATTTTAAATTAGATTCAGGCTTGATCTCTGATTGGGACCTTCCAAAACATCGGTCTTTTTCTGTTATGTTAAATAATATTATTAAAAAAAATGAACAAAATGGATCTTGAACATGCTACACCAAAGCTGAAACCAGCAGAAGTTGCACTGCTTACCCAAATAAGAGTCTAAAGCCAATATGTTTGGTTTACTTAAGGCTTGGACCTTCTTTTGATGTGTTCAGACTGGATCTAAACTTGAGTGTGGCTAAATGTTCTTTTCATAATTATTTACCTTCAGATCGAAAAACTGTCAAAGGATCTGGAAGAAGCCAAAACAAAGGTGGTTACGGTTACTGTTCCTGTGCCAACACCCGGTGTGCCACCGCCTCCACCTCTTCCAGGACAGTCTGGTCTTGCACCTGTACCAAGCCACGCAAGTTTACCTGGTCCAGTTCCTCCCCCTCCACCCCCACCGCCTTTACCTGGGATGCCACCACCTCCACCTCCTCCGCCTCTTCCCGGGATGCCACCACCTCCACCTCCTCCGCCTCTTCCCGGGATGCCACCACCTCCACCTCCTCCGCCTCTTCCCGGGATGCCACTACCTCCACCTCCTCCGCCTCTTCCCGGCATGCCAGGACCACCACCTCCTCCGCCTCTTCCAGGCATGGGAGGACCACCACCTCCTCCGCCCTTACCAGGTGGTCCTGGTATTCCTCCTCCACCACCAGGACCAGGTATGCCTCCACCTCCGCCAGTAAACTGGGGTCCTCCTGCACCACCTTCACTACCCTTCGGGCTCCAGCCTAAAAAGGAATACAAGCCAGAGGTCCAGTTGAAGAGGGCTAACTGGAGAAAGGTTAGTGCTGACAAAAATTAACAATTAAATTTAGAATATTCAGCAACCTGTAGGTTGATTAACATATTTGTAATTCACAGAGACTTGTAGAAACATCATTGTATAGCATAACATTTCTTCTTATGGGTGCCTCTGTTCGAGTAAAATGTGAGCTGGAGCTTTTCCAGTGAAATATTCACTAAAAGTAGCTTCCATGCATACGTGTATCTCATGACTATGTGCTTCATGTTCTTCAACACCCTCTCCTCTATGATGGTTAAAACATCAAAACGTCTTTCTTTTTCTTTAGCCTAAAGCTACTGTTTAATGGCTAAAGCAGACTTCATCAGCATTTACTCTCTCTCTTTCTCACTTCTCCTTTGTTGGGATGGTACAAGGGTTTGACAAGGATGTCAAAGAAATTGCATTTTAATAAGCCTCCTTCTTTTAACTGCACCACTGAAAGATAATTAAATTGCGGCTAGAAAAGATGGTATTCTTTTGTAATTTAAATTGACTTTTTTTTTCTGGCTTGGGTGTCATCCTTTTTTCTCCTCCTGTACATGCTCTCTTGCTTTCTTTCTTGCTCCTTCGACTCATTGCCATATCACATTTCTTTTGCCTCACTCATTGTCTTTTCTGTCCTACACCCATCCCTGAGGCTTTGTCCATAATGAAAGGCCTGATATCTCTAAATTTACTACCCCTGCTTTCTCTTTCGTTATGGGCTTTTTATTCTCTTGATAAGAATTTTCAGAAAGTGGAGGAGAAAAAAAAGCATGGTTAATTTTGTCTTATGTGAAAACATGTAGATAAAACTAAGAGGAAAGAGAAATTAGAAGTAAAAAGAATTTGGTTGTTTGAAACTTAAGCTGAAGTTGTTGTATACCATAGTATGTACAATAATTACATGAGCATGAATACAGGTGTCTTCTTCTCTCTTTGTGCTTTTTAGATTGGAGCTGACGACCTGAGTGAAAACAGTTTCTGGACCAAGGCCAATGAGGAAAAATTTCAGAGCAGTGAACTGTTTGCCAAACTCACATTAACTTTCTCATCACAAACAACGCGTAAGTTTTTATCTAGTGTGTAATATCTCATTGCTTTTTACATTGCCTTTCTGAATATTAAGAAATGCTCTTTTTTTTTGGTCTTTTTTTTATGTAATTTCCACAATCCTTGATGCCTTTTCTTCTTCTTTCATCAGCCAAGGGTGGTAAGTGTATTGCACACTGATTTTCACACATTTTCTCTTGCGCTTCTCTCTTTCTCTTATAACCGATGACACAGCAGGACTCCACACTAACTTTCTCAACTGGTTGCACTAGTGTGTCTAACCTTTTCAATTAGGTGCAGGCAGATGTTCACATCTCCTTTATTAGTACCATGGTATGTCTCTGAAACTCAGACTTTGGTCATTTCCAGTGCAGATTGACATCAATGTAAATAGGAGTGAAGATTTTGTGTCATGATACATCATCCTTCATGTATTCAATATTGAGAAAATATAATTGACTTTCATTCACATTTTAGTATTTCTTTCGTCCCCAAATCACAAAAATTGATCACTTTTTAACACTTTTTAAAGTATAGCTACGAATGTTAACCAAATTTACTAAAATTACTGTAGCTAGTTGAAAATGTTTTTGTGTGTGTCTGTCATTTGGACAACTACCTTTCTTTGAATACATGGCAGTTGAAGGACAAATGTTGGCAGTCTTTTCATTCAGATAAAAAGTGATATTTATTACTGTGAAATGTTACCATTAATAAAAGCAAAGCAGAGTATTATCTCCAATCTGAGAAATTCTGGGATGTCTAGTTTCTACTCTGGTAGAAACTATGTTTTTTCAGAAACATGAAATCATTGGCAATATACCTGGACTATGGCGCTCTGATGTATAGAAAAAAATATCTGTTTTTCTGTGTGTGTTTTCTTGACATTATCAATAAAAGTTATCAAAACTACAAACCTCAACAGAGAAAGAGAAGATATAGCCAGCAGCATAATCAACCAAGAAAGGAGTGCAAATGACAGCTGCAGACTTTCTCACATGGACGTAATCATCCATAGTTGTTCATCTGACGATATTAGCATCACTGCCTGTTGTCATGGAAACCATTATGGTAAATGGACTGAACTTATATAGCGCGTTTCCAATCATTTTGACCACTCAAAGCGCTTTACACTGGAGTCACATGCTCTAGCCACAGAACCACAGTAACCCCACTTTTAGCCAGAGTCATGTTAGCACTTCAGTCATGCTTAGTGTAACAATGCTTGTGCATTTGTCTTCAAGCAGTAACTGCACCAACTAAAGCAGTTTCAGAGAACCTGAAATCTGAGCCAGATGATCGTAATAAAATGGCAGCATCTTAGATTATCATAATCTTAAATGATTGTAATAGTATTAATATTTTTGATACAATCGTCCGGCCCGCTTCCTAGCAAAAACAAACAAACAAAAAAAACCTACACTGGTTGAATTATATTCTACTTTCACCTTAGTATGCATGCAAGCCATTTTGTTTCTTGCTTTTTTTATTGTTTTGCAACGTGAGGGAAATGCTTTATCATTAAATCATTTCAAAATAAAAAACACTATTACAGCTTTTTAAAAAATAAATATACTGAAAATACATTTGAGCTATTTTATTAAAATGTAATTTTACATATTGCCTCTCCCTAAAACATGCCAAATATCATGTGTGCCACCTTGTTTGTTTCACAAGTCTTGCAGTTTTTTGCCAATTAGTATTAACACTAGAATAAATCTAACATGCTAGTAAGAGTTAGAGATAAACTGTAAATCTTAATACAGCCTTTGGTTTTTGAAAATTTGTGTTTTAAAATGTAATTTTGACATAAAAACATACATTCAGTTTGTAGCTATGTTGATTTGGAGCAAGAAGGCACCAGTCGTGTTTTGGTAAGGTGTTAGCATGAGCTCAAAAGAAAATAATTTGCACTTCACAGATTTTACTTACCTTTACAGAGTTGTTATTTGGAAAGGGCAAATCAAAACGATGTTAACCTCGACTTGATTACATGCCTTTACCCACTGAAGGCCATTTTCTCATTGCGCTCATGGATTGAGCTGGGGCATTCACTACTTGGGCATATTTGGTGCACACCAATGCAGGTAGACACAGACAATGGGACGACAGGAAGGGATACGAAGAAGGTCAGTGATGTCCTTTGACGACTCACCAGCTGTCCTGGCACAAAACGCTGACACACGCACACACCTGTCCACTCCTCTCACCTTGTCCTGGTGTCACTGAGCCTTCTGCTCCAACTCCTCCATATTCAAATTATATTCTGGACATCAGGAGCTCCCAGACAGTGCGTATGCAGTTTTATCTCACCTTCAGTCTCGATACTCATCACACACACACACAGTCGGGTCTTATACATAAACAGTAGTCTGCATGCACAAGACAGCTTATGCTAGCTTTTGATGTCAGTTAAATGTCAGAGCTGGCAGCTGTCCCATCTGCATCCATCTGTATATCAAATCCTTACGTCCACCTGCCACTCCACAATATGACCTCCTCTACACTCCATTTGGCCCATGCTCCCATGAATCCTTTTTTATTGGCTGAGACAACCGCCTGTTCCGCATGATGTCTAATAACCTTTTCCAAGCGCTGTATATAAAGACACCATGGCCTTTTCATAGCCTCACACCTGTCTGCTGGTGGGGATGAGAATGGGGTGGGAAACTGTAGTAGGGGGTGCACAGGTAGGCATTGCTGATTTTCCTTGCATATTTTTAGCATGCTGAAACTTAGTAGGTTTGATTAAAACATCCTAATGTGCAAAAACTTTTGTTTTTGCAATGGTGATTGTCGCTAAGCCTCTACAAAGTCTTTTTTGTGAATATGTCTGTATTAGTTGCTGCTATATAACGAATCTGAAGCACAGATGCCACGAAGCTCCCTCTCTGCTCAAACTGTGTTCCTTTGCCCATCATTCTGTTAAAAACAGCTGAAGGCCTGTTATATCCCCCCTGAGCTCCCTCTCACTTCCAGAAGCTCTTTTACTCTTTCCATTGTGCTTGTGTTTTTTTGCTCCTTTTGTGCTGCTCATTCCCCAGTCTCCTTGAAAAGCAAACTGAGATCACACAAAGTCTTTGCTGACCCACTCTGACCCTTCCTCCTCCTCTTCATCAGTTGCCCGGCAGCTGGACGAGCAAGCGCACACAGCCACACAAAAAATAGACATGCAGCATGGGTAACATGCTCAGGGCACGGTCAGAAGTGTCGACCTCTGCTGCTTAGTTGAAGACCAGACAACTGATGGAGGGAGACACTCATCCTCTGGCTGCACAGAGCTTCTGTGGTCTCAGTTAAACAATTTCACATATAACAATTGGATTTGCCAGAATTTTTCTAAAACTATCAGCAATTTATAGCTGTAGTAATTGTGTCCATGGTAAGGATCCTCCTACACTTGAGCTTTTTTCAACACCAGCCTGCATCACCATAATGACGAGCTGTTCACCTTCTGCTTCTTCATTTAGTGAATCTCAAACAGTCTGCTCCATTTTAATTGATCCAGTCTGCCTTCCTTTGCTGTTTCTGAAAATCCCTCACCCCAGGTCTTCCTCGTTTTTTTTTTTCTTTTAATTTCATCTGACCTTATCATTGTCAAGTTTTTTCATTAATTCGGTTCTGTTCTGCACCCTTAGCAATTATTGGAGTTGTTCAGCTGCATATAAAGTGCTGTAAGTTGTTGCTGTATTTACCAGGGGTTAGAATGATCTTCTTCACTAAATGGTAATTTATTATTTATATACATCTAGAAGATTCATTTATAAACTTTTTATCATCACACCCATCTCTACCTTTTTTAAATATTAAAACTTCCTGCTTTTTTAATTATGTTTTTTGGCGATGCCTAATAGACCTCCAAGATTGAGCAACCATCCAAATTTCCAGAATTGATTGCACTTCTGTATGAGCGACACCCAATAACTTTAAATAAAAATGTACATATAAAGGCTGCACTTGTCTTTAAGCTGCAGGCACAACATACAATTTTTTTTCTCTTTACTTTTCAGGAAATATGTACCATAAATTATTTTTCCAAAACTAAAAATCCAGTACCCTACCAGGAAAAGTCATTGGTCACATCTTCCTTTACTTCCTCATCCGCTTTCATTTTTGCTGTTGATGTCACTTGTTTCACTCTCGAGCTTTGCTGTCCTCATCACACAGGAGTCCGTCTTTTAGAAACACCTTTGTGAAATGAGATATATCAGCTGCATCGCAGTGTTTAAAATGTGTGAAAAGGTAGTCTGGAAATTATGGCATATGAGCTTGGATTGAACAAAGAGTTGATCTGCCTTGAGCTTTAAGATTGTATTTTTGTACCTGCTGTTTATCAATACCCTATACTGCCACTTAATGCAAAAATATGTAAGGACTAAAGAAACGAGAGTTTTCTGCAAGTAATTTTACTTCCAAATTGAGCAACCAAAGAGGAAAAATGACAGCAATAAAAATAGACAGAAGATAAAAAGTGACACATATTTTTTTTTGTACCAACGTCTCTAACTTTACCTCTATGTAGTCAAAGAAACACACTTGTGCCTGTTGAAGGTAGAATGTGGAAGGGCTCTGCATAAAATGGATCAGTGGAGTTGTTGAATATGTCTGTATATGTGTGTATATGCATATTTATATATATTTGTGAAAATGTTCCTAAGACTGCATATTGAGGTTTATATGTAATGTTTGGAAATCTGATTAATAAGAAAGCTTAGTTGCTTGTTTTTTCACAGACTGGATTTGTTTTACCATTCTTTTGTGTAGCCATTTATTAAATAAAATCAGTTTTTTTAATTCTTGCGGGATATTAATAAACTATCATCAATCATTCTTTTATATTGTCAGACATGTGCTGTTTCTCATTAGTCTAATTGTAACTGTAAACAGCCTTGTTGTTTTGGATTTGCTCCGAGTCTATAAAGCGATTAGTGCAGCAGAAAAGATTTTAGGCAGCAAGCTTATCCCTGTAGTTCCCCTTAAGCTACTTTTTAAAAATTCCTCACTTTGAAGTGGTTTGTTTATTTATTACCTTTCAGTGTTTGTTTGCTTCTCTCTTTCATAAGAAGGAATAACACTGGCTGATCAGGATTTAAAGGTCTGTTTTCAAAAGTACAAGAGATCAGTGGCGCCATTAGAATTCATACACTGTTTTCCAGCATTTACATATTCATCCCAAACTGCTGTCCTTTTTTTAAACTTTTTTGAGACTTTGTGTTTGGTGGCAGGTGCCTTTTGAATATATTGTATTTGAAGTCTGCACCTCGAATAGCCCAATTAGCAAAAGAATGAGAGAAAGAGCAAGTGACGGAGGAGGTGGTTGGTGAAATAAAAGCAGACTGAGCAGAGGGAAAAGGGTATGCTAGTGGGAGCAGTGATGATTAATTTGATTCAGGAGAGAAAAGAGCCAGAAGCATATATAGTTATTAATCCTTATAATGGGAGGATCATCTTCACATCCCAATTCTCCAGCCTTGAGAGCAATTCCCCTTTTCTTTGTGTTGCTATTATAGCATGTTGTCCTTATTTATTTTTCTGCTGCCAACATCATACAACACATTTACACTTGTCACCACAGTTTTCTGTGTTGCATTCCCCTCCTGTGAATAACAAAAAAATTTATTGAGAATTCATCCAGGTTTGCCATTGCGATTGTGAGAGTGGGTTGGTGAGCTCTGCCACATTTAGAGACCAATTATAATAAGCCTTTTGATCTCCCTGTGTTCTGACGAAATCAATTTTCCCTCTCTGTAGGTGTGATTGTGTTCTCTCTACGCGTGTTTGGGTCTGTATGAACACATAGACCTATTTAGTGCGTCTTTTTCCCCCCGTACCTCCTCTATTTCCTCCACACTTTAATGAGGTACCAGTCAGCATGAAAGTACCTGCTGTGTATGTGTGTATTTGCACAAGTTTGCAAGCCAATCAGTTGTTAGGATCAAAGATGGAATATATTAAAAATAAAAGACCTAGACATGGAGAACTACAGTATCGTGTTGATTAGGTCATTTGGTTCTCTTGAAGAGTACACTTGTTTTTGAAAAATTTCCATTTTAATCAAATAGCTGAGGCACTCCCCTGGTTTTCTATCACTGTTGTTTACTGCAGTCTGATTGCTGGACTGTTAGAAAATATCAGCGCTGGGACTGTGAAATGGTGTCTCTTTATCCTCTTGTCAGCACAGCTGTCAGTTTATTTTGATGGTTTTTAACTAATTGGCATTTACAAATGTCAAATAACTGTTTGGCAAATGTGGTTGAAAAGTAGTCATTTCTAACACAGAAAACCAGAGTGGGCATGTATAAACTGGACCTCTGTTATTATTTTTAACAATCCCTGATAACCCACTCGCACCTACACACCATAAACCCTCTTTTTAATTTCAGGTTGAAAACCCTTTAAAATCTTAATATTTTTCTGAAATCTCAACTTCTGTGTAGATGTTT